ATTTCGTTTAGTGTTGGATTGTGTGCAAGATTTCAGTTGAATCATAAAGAATCACATCTAACGGCTATTAAAAGAATTATAAGATACCTCAAGGGAACCGATGACATGTACCTGTTTTATCCTAGAAGTGATGAATTTATGCTTAGAGGATTTACCGACGTTGATTATGCTGGTGGCTTAGTCAACAAGAAAATCACCTCAGGTGTGGTTCAGTTCCTTGGCTCTTGTCTAGTTTCTTGGGTTTCCAAGAAAAAAAATATTGTTGCACTATCTACAACTGAGGCTGAGTATGTAGCAGCTGCTACATGTTGCTCTCAAGTTTTATGGATTAAACAACAGTTACTTGAGTTTGGTATTAAATTTATTGCATTATTTATTGTGATAATACTAGTGCAATTTGCATATCTAAAGATCCAGTCCATCATTCAAGAGTTAAGCATATCCATATAAGGCATCATTTCCTTAAGGATAATGTTAAAAAGGGTTTGATTAAATTAGATTTCTGCGAAACTGACAATCAAATTGCAGATATTTTAACAAAACCCTTAAATAGAGAAAGGCATCAGAAGATGAGAATAGAACTTAGGATGATTTAGTTAAACTAAGAAAAAAATGCATCAAGTTCCCTCAGGTATAACTCTCAAACTAACGTGCTTTAAAATGTATACTATGGACAAAAATTATATGTTTAACTAAATAGTTGAGACAACTTTGTGAGCAAGAACATTATTTATCAAAGTATGTTAATTAGTATTGACATAGATAATGAAAGTGCCTACTGATTGCATGAGCCTTGTTAAATTGTTCTATGTATCAAGTTGCATTTACAAGTTTTCTTTGTTTAAATTCAAAAGATTAAATATTTGTGTTTATCTGACTTTTAAAATTCCAATTTTTCTATCTAAACACATTATCTGGTGAATGCATCTAATATTCATCCCTATCTTTTGTTCAAAAAGTTACCCACATGCAACTTATCTCTTGAAACACGGTTTACGTTCCCCTAAGAAATAAATAAGGCATAAAATCACCTTAATTCATCTCACCTACTCCAAACAACACCTCACAAATTCACCTCACCTTTTTACCTCCACCATAAAAAGGATGTCAGCCTCACCAATTGTTACACCGCTCAAAATTCACCACATCACTTTCCAAACCGATCAAAATTTCTCTCCCATGGATATCTCTCCTATTGACAAAACCCTAACCAAAATCGAAGCAAATTCAACCAAAATTCAAGACACCACCATGGAAATCCCTTCGGAAAGTCAAACCGAAGTAATCCCTGAGTCACAAAAGGTCAATGCTCCATCTGAATCTCGTTCCTCACGCAAAAGAATGAAGGAAGATTCGTAAGAAGAGGAGCAAAGCATACCGGAGTTGGGTGTCAACTATCGAGACAAGCCTCCGGCTATGAAAAGGCTAGAGAAGAGTGCCAAACACTATGTGACAGGTTTGGTACTTAAACTACCTTGGTGTAAAGCAGTTAAATTGTATGAATTGCGTGATTTGTTTGAGTTTCAAAATTGGGTCAATTTGTTGAGTGAATGTTTCAATTGGAGCATGTAGATGCTATGAAGGAATTCTGTAAGAATTTTAAGTATTCTAAGGAAAAATCCATAGTGACGTGCATGGTGTAAAGAATGAATTTGATGCTTTGTATTTCGCTGAGTTGTTTGAAGTGCCTAATGCTGGTTATGATTTATATTTCAAAAATACCATACAAAATCCCCCTCTAGATGCTAATATTGATGAAATTGTGGAGTTTCTTGGTGGTGATCTTGAGGAAACCTAAATTAACCATAACCTGCTTACACCTCTTGATAAAATTCTGTTAAAATTTGTGTACAATGACATAATCCCTCACTCTCAAAAGAGAGATGTGGCAAACAATCTAGATGCAACCTTATTTACTGCCTTGCCCGCAAAATACCTATCAATTTCCTTTCCATCATGATCCAACACCTTACACACTGTGTTCCAAAAGGATGGAAAGTTGGATATGCCAACCTTCTCACCAATGTCTTTGAAAGCTTTGGTATCGTTTTTGCAAATTCAGAGCCCTTACCTCTCAAAAACACCGAATATATCCAACCCATATTTCTTAATAATCATCATCTTGTGGTTGTGAATGGAAGTTTTGAAGTTGTAAAGGAAGAAAAGAGACCAAAGGAAGTGGTAGTTTCAGTTGAGGGGGAAGCGAAGGAAGAAAAGGTAGTAGGGTTGATTGAGAGTATGTTGGAGGAGATAAAAGATGAAGTTGAGGGAGATCAGGGTGAAGAGGATAAAAGGAGTGTAGAGGAAGTGACTGAAATAGGGGGAAGAAAGAAGAGAAAGAGCTTGAGGTTGATGAAAAAGAAAGAAGTACTTGCTAAGATTTGCATTTATCTTTCTGGTTCCCAGGAGGAATTGCAAACAATTCCTAGTACTCTTATCCCTATCAAGCATACATCTGCAGGTACAGGGTTCGCAGCTTTCAGTTCTCCACCAAAGGTTCCAAGTGAGGAGTGTATGAAGGAGATGAAGGACCTCATCTAGAAGGTGCTCAAGGGACAGGAGAAGTCGCAAGAGAATATGGAGGAACTGAAGAAGAGTATGCTCACTCTGGATGGTGGCATGAAGAAGCTAGTCACAAGAACTGAGAAGGAAAAGCTTGTTGTTATTAATGATGTAGTGTCTCAAGTCTGTAAGAAGCTGGAAGATTTTGCTGTTGATGATGACCAGAACATCGCTTCTTAAAACCCATCTAATCCTGCTGCTCTTGTTTCTTTTTATGATGCTTTAATATTTGCTTTTGGAAACAATTTATTTTGGTCTGTAATTATTGGGTAGTTTATCTTTTGCTAGACTTGTGAATTTGGTACATTTGGTCGATGTTTTAAATCGGTTTTGGATGATTAATGTCTATGTTTATTATACCTATATGCTTTGTGAATATTTGTTCTCTATGCATAATGCTTCCCGTCTCAACACAAAACCACTTAGATTGGTGCTGTGTTATGGTATACTTTGCAATGTGTGTTGGTTTTTTATAATGCCAAAAGGGGGAAAAGGTGCAAACTCAAAAGAAACTTAATCATTCTATGGTCTATGTTTGAAGTCTTCACAGCCTGCCTATTTCTCTACAAGCATGTATATGTAAATATAGTTTGTTTTTACTTGATAGTATTAGTTTTAGTTTTTATTAATTCTGTCTTTGTTTTTTTTTTTAGTTTAGTTTCGAATTATCTTTGTTTCCTTGTAAATAAGTTTGGTTTGTTTGTCATCATTAAAAAGGGGAATAATGTTGAGCTTATGATTTTGATGATGATGTTTTTGATGATGACACAACCTAACTTATTTACTGACTAATAAGTGCTTAATTGTTTAAGTGTGTGATTAGATGCATTGACAAGGAGAATCGAGTTGTCTTGCAAAGATCCCATGAGGAACAAGATGGCAAAGCACAAAGTATTTCAAAAGAGAAGAGTTCCCTCACAGAAACCGGCGTTTCAGTGTTGGAGCCTTGAGATGAGAAGTTCCTATTACGGAATAGAAGCTTCGGAGTAGAAGAGAAGTTCTTCTATAGGAATAGAAGCCTCGGAGTAGAAGCTTCATCAGAGAAACATGAAGACTAAAATATTTTTATGTTTTAGGATTTATGTAAGTATAAGAATTAGGTTTACAGTTTAAATTAGCTGTGTGGAATGGTCTAAAAGATAAGTTTGTGTGTTGCTTAATTTAAGGAAAACAGTTGGTTTAAAATCTTATCTTTATAATTTATGAAAAAGATTTTATTTTCTCTTATTTTCGAAATGTCAGTTATAAAATAAAACCTATTTTGTTTTCCAAAACTTGCGGACTACTCTCCATGACTTAGTCCATGTCATAGTCTTGTACATTAAGGAGAACATGCCCTTAATTTTAGGACATGTTCTATTTAGTGGGTTGAGAGTAGTGGCGATATAGGTAAGCAGCACAAGATATTTTTCCAAAGCAAATTCGGTCTATAAATAGCTAGTTAATTTTAGTTGGAAAATCTCATCCTTGCTCAATTAGATTTCATCTTTTGTTAAATCGAGTCATGAGTCCAATTCCACATTAGTGAATTAGAGTGTTCTTATGTTCTTATACTAGAGTTAATTCTTTCGAGTTGTATTTTGGGGAATTGGAAAGTTTGAGTGAACTTCTGTTTTAGCTTTGAGTGAAGCTAGGAGAAAGAGAAGAGAAGAGTAACAAGTTGGGTGACTTGTTGCTTGGGGCTTTGAGTTCGTTGGGGAACTCGAAGTAAGAGTCTTTAGTTTGTAATAGGCCATTGCCCTATTCTAGTAAAGAATCTTTTCCTAAAATCCCTTGTGATCGTTGTTTTTCTCCTTGTTTAGGGCCAAGGAGTTTTCCACGTAAAATCTCTCAAACACTTTAAGTTTCTTAAGCTTAATTGTTTTTATTTCCGCAAAAAGTTTGACAAATCTGTCGTACTACAATTCAACCCCCCTTCTTGTAGTATTGATTGAAACAGCAGATTTGTCCTCGATGTATCTAGCTTTCATAATAATACACCCTCCATTTATGAGTATTCGCAATAAAATGATTGACACACGATTAAATTACAAGTTTAACCTTAAATACATGCAAATATAAATCAATAAAAACTATGAAAAAACAATGTTTTATAATATACGAATTTTACGTTGAGGTTAATCTAACTTTTACAACATATTACCCGACAATGCCATTTGATTTTTACATACTTCGTATTAATTAAAAAATATAGTCTTAATTTTTATGGAGTATATAAATAGTGCCAAAATCAAATTGTTGCGGATATTCAAGAATTGAGATAATATCAAATTTTAATAATTTTTTTGCTATATATAGTAATTGAATATGTAAATAACTCCGTATTAAAATCGAGCATTAATATGTATAAATTTTCAATTGTTACAATAATTAAAAAGCGTAGAGTAGATAGTGCTAACCGTCATAATAATTTGACAAAGTTGAAATACAAAGGGTACCTTCCAAGATGTAGCACATCTCCAAGGAAAACAGCTGCCATGATAATTGCGATCATCATTCGTAGTGGTTTAAACATTGCTAAAAAAACTGGTCCCTTCACTCTGCATGCCCATGTGTCCGCATTATTTATCGTACCAACTGACACAGCCTAGTAAAAGTTTTGATGATTAAACCAATAAGAATAATAATAATAAGTTTTTTTGTCGGACTGACCACACTGTTTGGCCGGTTAAAAAAAAACGAAGTAATTCCTACAACAATGACTGAGTAACCCTTAATTATGATGATGACAAAGTAATTTTTAATTAACAGAGTAACCACTATAACAATGACACAGTAACCACTATAATACAAACTAAGTAAATCCTATATCTGTAACCCCTATGATCATAACAGAGTAATCTCTATTACATTAACTGAGTTTTTATTATATTCTTATACTTCAATGCTTATAGATTCTAATACTTCAAGGATAAATATATATTCAAAACATCATCATGCATGCTGTTTTTTAATATTCGTTTTGGTTTTTAGTTTATAAATATGCAATTTTTATATTTTGTTTATAATATACTTAGATAATTTAATTACAATATTTTATTTGCAAATAGAACAATTAAATATGAAGGGAAAAAAAAAATTATGAACCGAAAAAGAAACAAAGAGTCGTGATGATGATAATATACTTGAAAGTATTAAGAAAATACCCCAACGAGAATCTAAATGTACTCGATACCATAGGTTGGTTTCCACACACTTGAATCATTTTCTGCAATTAAAGTAATGACCAATACAATTATAGTCTCAAAGAAAAAAGTAATTAGTGTTATTAACACTTCTGAAGGATAGTCCCTTGCAAGCCAAGTCTGAAGAAAAGAAATAAAGTGATTATTAGTGGAAAAATGATAAATGTAGTCCATGACTCCTTGGAGAAGAAAATAAAATAAAAAACATAATAACATTAAAAAGATAACGTATAATTTTGTTATAAATTTCGAATAAACACAACTATGGGGAGTATTTTAATACGTAGTATTTAAAAGGATCTGAAAAAATAATTACCTTGTTAACATACGCAAATCAGACGAGTAAGAAGCACATTGAGAGAAAGGTCCCTCCAAGGATCCAATTTGGTTGAGTTTGAAGTTCCACAAGAGAGTGGAGAGATGGCTTGGTTGGTGAGGGGAAAATACTACTAATTGGTAGCCCTTGGTAGAAGATCACTATGAATACTCCACTAATTGATACTATGGTTCCTATCAACTTTAATATGCTACTTTGTGAACGTAGGTTCAATATCTCCATCCTACCTTTCACAATTTATTTCATTTTTAATCACTAAAAATAAGATTAACCCATACTAAGATAAGTAACAAATTTATCTCAAGGTATTAGACCAAAAAAATATAAAAAACGGAAAAATGGAAATTAAAAATCTAACCTTTGCACTTTCTTCTCTAAAAAAATCCAACTTTAAGTTTATTCTACAAAAATCCAACCTTTACCCCCTATCTTCATCCAAAGATCCATTACCTGTTGATAACCGAATTTTGTAAGTAATATGCCACGTGTCAGCTATTATAGGTCAATTATTTTTTTAATTATTAAAAAACAAAAATAATTAAAAAAAATTTAAAAAAAAAAACAAAAAAAAAATTAGAAAACCCAGCCCCACCCTCCTTCCCGGATCACCCCATCCCCACTTCCCACTGGCCACCGGAACCTAGCAACCCCATTCCCCTCTCAACCGGAAAACCCACACCACTCCTCTCGCCGGCCAGCTGCCTCTACACTGCAGCAACACACGCTACCCGCAATCTCCTCCAACAACCCAATACTTCACCGCCTCACCTCAACCATAAGCCACCTACCTCACCACTAGTCGCCGCCCAAAAATCCAGACCAGCCCACACGCATCTCTTCCCCCTGCAAAACCCACACTAATTAAAACCATTCACCAATCAACAAATCCAGTTCGCACCACCGCCCAATCTCCGTTTCCACCCTCCATTTCAGCAACCCCGCAAACCGCAACCACCGACTCCAAACCACCATTTACCTCACCCAACAATTCACCAACCTAAAGGCAATCTCCACAACAATTCACAACCTCGCTGCGGTTTCGTACTCGTCGCCGGAGGAAGGGGAGGAGATGGAGAGACGTCGAGCCTAGGTAGGAGTAGGGTTGGTTGTTTTGGCTAGGTGGGGCTTGTGGTTTCGAGCCTAGGTAGGAGTGGGAGAAGAGTTTCGGCTCTGGGTTTGGGTAGGGTGGGGGTAAGTGGTGGCAAAGGTGGTGGTGGCGGAGGTGCGTGCTGCTGCTGTGTTGTTTTAATTTTTGAGGAGAGAGGAGATAAAAAGAGGAGGAGAGAGAAGGGAAAGTGAGAGAATTAAACAAAACAAATATATATATATATATATATATATATAAATATATATATATAAATATCTTTTTAACCTGTTTAATTGGTTAAAGGTCAAATGAATCTGTTGGTGAAAATGGGGTATAAAGGTTGGATTTTTGTGGAATAATAAGGTTGATTTTTTAGTAAAGAAAGTACAAAGGTTGGATTTTTAATTTTCATTTTTCCAAAAAAAAAAAAAAAAAAAAAAAAAGAAAAGGAAAATTTCTAGGCAATCTACAAAAAAAAAAAAAAAAAAAAAAAAGTCACTGCTCCTTTCATCTCATTTTACTTGCCTGAGTTGACCATATTTTACGTGAAATCTTTTGGATTTAACTGAAACAAGTACAATTCAGTGTAATGTCCTGTTCACTTATTTTATTCTCAATTAGATTAAATTATTTTTGCTTTATGTTTTTATAAGAACTGTTACTAATTCTATTAAGATTGTCAATGACAAATTAATGGCTTTATTTATTTTTATTTTTTTTATCAACGAATGGTCAAATTAACCCCTCAATGTAGAATTTGGCTCGCAATATAGTAAGTTTTTGAAAGGTGATATGTGATTGGAACTTAATTCTTCAATGACAATAAATGCATTTTTATTTTATCCTTGAAGGTGTGGTATGAGGCAAACTCATTTTTCCCGTGTGATATGAGTTTAGAATTTGAAATTTCTTTAAAACAAACACTGGGTATGATTTTACTTGTTCTAAACTTATTTCTCTTGCCAAAATCATTTGAACCAAACACCCCTAGCTCATTATTTCAATAGTTAAAAACGCCTCCATTCAGCTGGAAAAATCTTTTTACGATAATGATGTGGTGCATGCAAAAAATTGAAATACGAAGTAGAAATTATGATTTTGTCGCCGTAAAGTTTTGTAGCTGTAAAATTTAGTACAAACATACACATAAAGATGGTTATATATGTTTAATTAAATTTATTGAATAAAACAAATGCTTAATTTTATAACTATCAGATTAAACCACTTTAAATTATTAGACCATGTCGCTTATTATTTCATTGCTACACGCAATATATATTGTTGAATCCATATATAAATATAAAACAACTAAAATAAAATACTCCGTATTATATTAAGAGAGCTCACATTAAACTATCATCATAAATTTAATAGACACCTTAATTTTGTTAATATTTAGGTATCAAATTTATTAAACTAAGGAGATAATATCCAGAAAAATATGTGTTAATTAATTAAAGATCTTAGAGAATTATCAGTAATTGTTGTTCTCTTACCTACGATCTTCTATATATAAAGAGATTCATTTCTACGAGCGGTTTCAAGTGGAATAAGTTATTTCTAACACACTATCTCATCCGCAACACCAAACACTATAGGTATATTTGGAATAAGTTGACATTACCCCATACTATAAGCACATATCAAAATCTTAGCATTTTGAACATAGGAATCAAGAGATCTTCAAAAATTTGTAACACATATATTATCAATAAATTATTGTTTCTATATATTTTCTCGCCCCTATATTTATAAATTGCAAGTTTGAGTTTTTATGGTTTACGATCGTGTTTGATATTTTTTTTTCTTTATAATTAGTTTGTACACAAATAAGTCAAAGTTTAGTCAAATTAATTAGAAAAATTAAATCAGCTATAGATCAAGTGAATTGAACACAGCCTAAATATAGTCCTATGTTTTTTCTTAAAACTATGTGCTCCATTTGCACATACGCACACATAAATAAGAAACACATTATATTTCCTGTGTTTTTATTAGTTGTAACACTTTGCAAATTACAGACTCTAAGGTGATTTTTGGAGATGAAAGAGATAGAGAGTGAAAAAAAAATGGACCAATGTGATATGAGAGAGATAGAGAGGATTTATTAACTAAGAAATAAAGTGATGCAACTAATTTGAAACTTCTGTTTTACAGGAAGTATATGTTTTATTTTTATAAAGAAAAGTACATAAGAAGTTAGGACAATGTTCTTTAGTCAAGACTAACTCTTGCTTGTTTGAACGCTTTAATCCCATAAGTGGAGTTGGCTACATGCATAAACGAACCAACACGAGGACTTTCTAGGAGGTCACCTATCCTAGTACTACTCTCAATCATTGTGGCTCATGTCATGTGATCGATGTGACAAACTTTTACACTAACTGTCACTGGTTTACCGTAACCCTCCTCCTTTATAAGAGTAACTCCTATCTTTAAAAAAAAAAAAAAAACACACGTACAACATATATATATACATATAAAGTTACCTGAAAATGCTGGCAACAATAATAAAAGTGAAAGGAAGAGAAAGATTACTCATTACTGATGCAAGTGTTGGTGAGATATAGCGTAATCCAGTATAGAAGAAAATGGAACAACCAGAACTGCAATTTAATTAATTCATTGTAAAATCTGTTAATATAATCGCTCAGTGCAACTAGGGCGTATATAGGATTTTTGAATTGAGATTTATTTTGAGTTGACAATTTTCTCATTTGATTATTTTTTCACGATTTTAATTTCAATACATTTATTTTACAAAAATTATCTTCAATTACGCATTTTCAAAAGGGTATTGCTATATATATGTAGCCCTAAGGGCTACAAATAAGCATATTATACCTTTTCTTTTTTAGTATAAATTTAGGAATGTATGGTAAAATCATGTGCATATCAGTGTAATTAATAAATATATTTCATTAATATTTTCCTCTTTTTGTTTCTTATACTTAAAGGCCGTTATGTATAGCATTTTCCTTATAATACAAATTATTAATAATTTGAAAATACACTTGTATAAAAAAAAAAAAAAAATACACATTAAGACAAAATATAATAGAATCTACTCCGTAACAAGAATATACGAAGTGTATATATATATAAAATTTCGACAATGACATGCGTTAGGATTTTATTAGCTTTCTCATTTTTTCATTTCTCATTCTAGCAATTCCACACACACACACATATTTACAAGAATATATTTTTCTTATCATCAATGAATAATTATGACAAAATAAACATTGATTTCCTCTCCTCTTGAGCTTCTAGGCAGAGCAGAGCAGATTTCAGCTGAGCAAAAGAGATTTCAACAGAGCAGAGCAGGGCAGGGCAGAGTAGAGCAGATTTCAGCATCATCATTATTATTATTATTATTATTATTATTATTATTATTATTATTATTATTATTGTTATTATTATTATTATTATTATTATTATTATTATCTCAAAAACAGACAAAGTCATACAACCTGCAATAAATTAGTGGGAAGCCAAGAAACAATCTGGGCCCACACTCCTCTAGCTATAGCAAAGCCTACCCTAGTGAACATATGAGCTGCAGCACGAGCCCCAATGTCTTGTGTCGTCGAGAACCTCTGAACTCGCTTTAGCAACGCAACAGCCTCCTTCTCTAATTCCCCAAGTGAAGAAAAGGAGAAGGGAATGAAACCATATCCAATCAGCCGACAACTAGCCTCATATTTCACCCGCTTCCGATGAGCCGCATAAGCCACAATCCGTCCAGGAACAAAGTCAGATAGCCCTGTCTGTGTCAGAGGAGAAGATCCTGTTAAGTCCACACATACATCGTGACCACGATCCCAGGAATAAAGTAACACATCAGCAGGTCTGAGGGCCCCGTCATTCCCTCCAGACAACCCTATGTCAACCTCCTTTTCTTGCTGAAATCCCAGATCTGTAACAGATATCAACAAGGGTATCCCGGACAACATTATGCCGATGTTTAATACCCACAATACAAGCACACGACACCGCGTGATCACCATAAATATCCCCAGTAAAAACCCGAGAACAAGCAGAGCACGGCGTCGAGACAGAGAACAATGGAACACCCAAACGGTAGCACAACACACATCGGTAAGTCTTTGCGTTCATCGTCTGACCCAACCCCGAAATAGGAACCGCCCGAAGCCAAGCAGAGGTGTGATCTCCCTGCCGCGATTTCCACAATGCTGATTGACGCGGAGATAAAGAGAAGGTGGATTCTGCAGAATCGGTAACCTTTGTGAAATATATATCTGCCAATTTCTTCATGAGTTTAGGGGCAGCGACCTCACTAGGATTACTCAAAAAGTCAGACTCCACCATTCTATTGAACAAGCTCAACGCATCCTCAAATGCTCGACCTAGGCCAACAACGCCAGTATGCCGTAGAAGCTTTGTCTGCAACCCAGCAGACTGTAACCGCGAAGCAAGAAAAGCATAATGACGAACATCACCTGCGGAATAGACACCCAGTCCGCCATATGCAAAAGGCAAGGTGGCAAGCCGCCATTGCCAATCACCAAACCCAGGCCCTGAAGCAGCAACGATACGCTCTAAGGAAGATCGAAGAGCCTCGTCGAATGTGCGCTGAGCCACCTCAAAAGTACTAGGGGGACAAGTACGCAAAGCAAAGTAGAGTTTAGAAACTCCGGTACAAGCCCTAAGTAGCAACAACTCGCACTGAGGATCATCAATCTTAGTAACCCTATCCATAAGCGCAATGGTCTTTGTCACCCTCTGCATCACAAGGTCACCTCTAAAACCGGAATCGGAACTAGCGAGACCACCAAGCAACTTAACACCACGCAAGGGTCGAGCAATATTAGGTGGAAAGACACCCACAAGCCTGCTTCGAGGGTCTTCTGTAGGCCAAAAAACTTCAGTTTTTTACACGTTAAGATGTAACCCAAAACGAGGCCTTTCCTCCATAATTAACTGCGGAACCTTCCCCACCACCAACGTGTCATTAATAAAAGTACCGTCATCTAAATACCAAGCCTGAAGACATACATCAAAAGTGTCTCTGATTTTACACACCAGGGGTTGTAAAACCAAAGCAAAAAGCAAAGGACCAAGGGGATCACCCTGCTGCACCCCCTGAGACGACCATAAGGTGTGGTTTCCGTAATACAATCTAGCAGGATTAGAGTAGCAGAATTCAACCCATCGCGAAAGGCCCGGACAGCGA